TACACATGTAGATGTGTATATATATATATGTATGTATGTATGTATGTATGTATGTATGTATGTATGTATGTATGTATGTATGTATGTACATATATATATATATATACATATATATATATATATGTATACACACCTGTAGTAAGTCGAATTTTGAGTTGGGGCTCTCGGGTGGAGTGATTGTAGGATCACCGAGGTATGGGCTTCGATGACGGCGTGGAATATGCGGGCCTAAATGGTTACCTATGCTTCATAAGAATAATAACTAGTAGTGGTACTAAAAAAACATAATCATACTAAGAATAATATCCCTCATGGTCCCTATGCAAATATTATAAGACCATCTACCCAAAGATCCTGTTTTCAGGCCCCATGTTACTGGGTTTAGTAAGGCCAAGCCGAGACATGTAAGGATGAATGTCGTCGAGGGCCAAAGGTTTGTTGTGCTTTTGGGGGCTGGGGGGGTTTAGGGTTGCATCAACTGTTTAGGGGCTCATGGCTTACGGCTTGTGGTTTGGCTTATCTTGTCAAAGAAGCGGCAGGCCCACATCAAGTTCGGCAAGGACCTTTTGGACGTGACGACGTCGCCCAATGAAGCAGCCGCTTTCACCGGCTACCATTCAGACATTGACCGCAGCAGCATGACGTGGATGATGAACCTTGGCTGCTCTCTCCAGGGAAAATTGAAGTCTGCACCAGAGGAAAGAGCACCTGAACTAAACCTTGAGACCTGAAGTGTTTGAGTTTCAGGAGCCCGATGCCTAGGACTGTTGCTGAGGGTCATCTAGGCTTGTTACTGAAAGTTGATGAGGATTTACTAACCCAAGCTGCCGGCACCTCTGCAAGCTGGAAATGGCCCCTAAGCAAAATCCTGAGGCAGAAAGCCTTCATTAAATCCTGCAAGGCAGAAGCCCAAAGAATGCTCTCAGTCAAAGCATTTTTCACGCAAGAACCTCATAGGCCCCTAACAAGACCCTACTGTTCGGGTGTGTGTGTGTGTGATGATGACGGTGATGATGGTCGTCACCATGCATCATCATCATCATCATCCTTATCCTCCGCCTCGTCCTCCTCAGTTCTTGCCTCTTGGAGTCCTGTCCATACACTATACTATACACTATGCGTGCAACGTTTTTGGCACCGTAGTACGGTGCTCAAGTTTGGGCGTTAGGCGTTAAGTGTTTAGGTTGTTTCGGGTTCACAGGCCTAAACCCTAAACTCTAAACCTTACACCCTAAACCCAGGTGATCAGTAGCTGCCAGGAAGTTGCAACATGATCTCGATCGCCTGTAGTGAATCTCATCCCTATTCCATCTTCCAGCTTTGTAGCGGTCAGTGTAGCTGTTTGGGTTTTGGGCTTGGGGCTTCTCTATTAAAATTTAGGCATCGAAAGGTTTGAAGTGGAGGTGAACCCTAGGCCCGCAAGTCTACTCAGCCTTTTCATGTATAGTATATCATGTAAAAGGTATAAGATATAAGATACTTTGTATCATGGACTCACACCAAGAAACACGCAGCTGGCCAACCCATTCATGGACGAAGCAAGCTGGCTTTATCCTGCCAACCAGGCCGGATTGGTGGGCGTTCGGTCTTTTAGGGTTTTGACGGACTCAATGAGCGTAGAGGGCTTCTTGATTCAGTTTGGGGCCCGGGACATAGTGTTCAGGGTTTCGAGTGTTTAGGGTGCCAACACTCTCTAAGTAAGGAATCTAGGCCAAGTCATATGAAGCACAAGGGTCCCTCAACACACAACAGGTAAACGCCCTAAACCCTAAACCCTGAACCCTAAACCCTGAACCCTGAACCCTAAACCCTAAACCCTAAACCCTGAACCCTGAACCCTAAACCCTAAACCCCTGAACCCTAAACCCCAAGCTCCTGAAAAGGCA